GCTTCACTCTCTTGACTTCAGCACAGCTTTCTTGCAGGGCAGTCTGCACGAGGAGATCTGGCTGCGCCGTCCACCTGGCTTCACTGGGTCGTTTCCTCCTGGTACCCAGTGGAGCCTCCGGCGGCCGGTCTACGGTCTCCGCCAGGCTCCACGTGAGTGGCACGACACACTGAGGACTACACTTGCGGCTCTTGGGTTCTCGTCTTCTACTGCTGACCCGTCGCTGTTCTTGCGCACCGACACTTCACTGCCGCCGTTCTACATCCTCGTGTACGTCGACGACTTGGTCTTTGCCACTGCTGACACTGAGGCTCTTGCCCACGTGAAGTCGGAGCTGCAGAAGAGACACACGTGCACAGACCTGGGTGAACTGACAAGCTATCTTGGCTTGCGGATCATCCGGGACAGAGCACGCCGCACCATCACACTGACTCAGTCACACATGGTGCAGCAGGTCCTTCAGCGCTTCGGCTTCACCTGGTCCTCAGCACAGGCCACTCCTCTGGCTATAGGTCACTCGCTCTCAGCTCTGCCTTCGGATGAGTCCGTAGAGCCTAGTGGTCCTTACCCAGAGCTAGTTGGTTGCCTCATGTACCTGATGACTTGCACTCGTCCTGACCTAGCATACCCTCTTGGCCTTCTGGCCCGCTACGTGGCTCCTGGCAGGCACCGAAAGGTGCACTGGGATGCTGCAAAGAGGGTATTGCGCTACTTGTGCAGTACATCGGGCATGGGGCTCGTGCTTGGAGGGAGGCGCTCAGTTGTTCTCACTGGGCACTCAGACGCTTCTTGGGTTGACGACCAGGCTACTCAGCGGACGTCACAGGGTTACACCTTCAGCCTTGGCTCTGGTTCAGTTTCTTGGCGTTCTACTCGCTCGTCTTCAGTTCTCAGCTCCAGTTGTGAGGCTGAGATCTACGCCACAGCCATGGCTGCACAGGAGTTACGCTGGCTGACCTACCTTCTGACTGACCTGGGAGAGCGGCCTAGTTCTCCTCCAGTGCTGTACGTCGACAACAAGGCTGCCATTGCCTTGTGTCAGGAGCACAGACTGGAGCACAGAACGAAGCACATCGCTCTCCGTTACTTCCTGGCTCGAGAGCTGCAGCAGCGTGGTCAGCTTTGTCTACGTTACGTGGCCACTCGGGCCAACACTGCTGATATATTCACCAAGGCACTTCAGCCTGGTGATCATCAGCGCTTCTGTACTGTCCTGGGGCTTGTGCCCACTGTTCCTCACTTACTGTAGGCTTTGTCTGTACTGTGATCTCTATATATATATATACTTGCTTGTTTGTTTTGTTAGGTTGAGATCACCTTGCTGTTTGTATTGTCTATATATGCCTCTGCATTTGAACTGGCCCTGTGGCCCTTTGCTTGTGCTCAGACTGTGTGGTGACGTTGTGATCCACCCTGAGCTTGCTTTGCCTTTCTTGACTGGTCTTGTGACCCCTTGCTCTCCCCCACTTTGCCTATGGGGGTGTGTCAAACATTATCATATATGTTATTGATATGTAGGCTATAGTGGGTTAGCCTTTAGGGGGTACACAACTCTAGGGTTTCATATTTGTACTCTCATCTTTCATAGTTCAATCACTTCTTCATTCTGACAGGGTCGGAATGTGAAGGGAACCGAATCTGCAACACATCCGCCTGCTAAAGTAAAAATCGTTACTGCATTTTGAACACATTTCAAAATTGAAGTTTACGTGCGCTTATAATAAAACAAGTTTTTTCAGGGGGTGCGCTTATAATCGAGCAGCGGATATAAGCGCCATGCGCCAATTAAAAGCGCCAGGCGCTTATTCGAGGGTGGCGCTTATATCCGGGGTATGACGGTATATATACCTGCATGCTTACACTTGCTAGGGTATGATCACTGCATTGTTTGTTCTCTTTATATAACACTGCATGTGAACTGGCGTTTTGCCCTTTGCTTGTGCTCGGACTGTGTGGTGACTTTGTGATCCACCCTGAGCTTGCTTTGCTTTTCTTGACTGGTCTTGTGACCACTTGCTCTCCCCCACTTTGCCTATGGGGGTGTGTCAAACTTATATATAGCTTACATTGTGTAGGTTGTAGTGGGGTAGCCCATAAGAGGTACAACCCAATTAGGGTTAGTACTTGTACCCAACTTCTGCTCGATGCATTTATTCTCGTTCACGCATTCCGACAGACCCTTCACTAACCGCATCAGAGGTTACACCATGCAACATGGTAACTGCCGAGAATGGCAATAGTCCCAGTTACTGTAGCTATGTAATACAGTTAATAAGGGAATGTACCCCTTAGAGTACATCGCTAGCTAGTTTGCTATCCGTTGTACTCCTATCTTATAATCATCTTGTTCTCTTTCAAATTTCATTGTAAACAAGGTCACTACAAGACTTCGGTGTCTTCTTATAACTTAGCAAGTCTTATCATGTCCACTACGATTCACGGATTATATCAACAAACTCTCCCGCAAGCGAGCTGCGGATATTGACCACCTTCCTTAAGGGGGGGGTGGGTAGTGTAAGTAATTTTCCTTATTCATTATCGGGGTTGACTGCTACGCATACAACCCCAACAATTCGGACTTCGCACGTTCGGCAGACATCCACGATAGCTTCGGCTCCTCCGCGTCGCCTTCAGCTTTCCGTCGCCAAACCTGCACCCAACCTCGCTTCCCGAGGTTCCCTCCTAGCTAGGGTAGTCATAATATTATATCGCTCCTTCATTGTATTGTCAGTTCATTGAGTCACAGCCTTGTTATTCGTTATTCCTCTCTTTCTCTTTTACAACTCATAACATGATCCCTCAAAATACGGCAGGTGTAACACCCTATTACGGCGGGTCGCGATTTAACGGACCTGGTTTGGTTAACGGGTTTCTGTACAATTGAATGCGAGTGAAAAAGGTTGGAGTTGGTGGAAACGCAGAACCGTTTCTAGACTGTACATACTGGACCGCGCTATACTAACCTGGTATGTAAAGCCGTGATCCCGCCTTAGTTCAAACCCGCGCACTCGACAAGAAGACTTCCCTTAGCTCACACCGTTTCGCTATTCCTGTATAGCACTCCTAATAAAACCCGAGTCCCTTTCGACCTTCCGCACCTAAATCACCTAAGCTCTGAATTACCTCAGCCCGCCATGGCCAAGGGTTACGTCGCATCCGCGAAGGCGTGGTTGGCAGCTCAAGTCAACGACGAAGAGCGGCTCGCCGCCAATCTGGTGCGTGCCGTGCCGCTTTCGACACCTCTCGCGAGCTAGATGCTTCGATGCGTTCGTGCGGCTGTGCGGGCGATCTAGTCTCGCTCCCAGCCTAGCAGCAGTTCCGCCTCGTACGCGGCTGCTACTTCACTGGGTCCGTGTCGCCCAGTTAGGAAAATCGAGATCGCATCCCGTGACTCGCTGTTCGATCGTTCCTGTGTCATCGATCCCCGGCTTTGGGATCGGATGCCACTCAGCCGCGGCTCAGCTGCTTTCATCGCGACGTTGTGAACGCCGTTCGTTTATGAGCGCCGTTCGTTATGAACGCAGCCGTGCGGGATTCCTGACTCGCATCTGGTTATTGTGGTCCCTGCCGTGTTCAACGTCGTTCCTCCCCATCCATCCCCCCTGCATCCCCCCTACATCCCCCCCTGCATCCCCCCTGCATCCCCCCTGCATCCCCCCTGCATCCCCCCCTGCATCCCCCCTGCATCCCCCCTGCAACCCCCCTGCCATCCCCCATGGCAACCCCGCCGTCATGTCGTATGTGCAGCGGCTGCTGAAGGCCGTGGCGGCGTTCGGAGGGGCCATCTTTCTCATGCGCAACTTCGGCGATGCCATGGCCATCTAGCCATCCAACCGGAGTGATGTTGGCCGTCTAGCCGTGCAGCCGCCGCCATCTTGCCGTCCAGCCATCTAGCTGTCTAGCTGGCTAGCCGGCTAGCCAGCTAGCCCATTCGCCAACAAGCAGTCTAGCTGCTTGCGCATCTAGCCTGGGTGGGTTGGTTGTACGGTGTGCTGGGCTCTGGCAAAAGAGAAGCGCTCCCTAGTAGGGTGAACAGAATATGGGGTTAGGGTTTGTCAATTTCAGGGTTTTGCCACTCCCTTTTTGTGTAAAATAATTTCCGCCACAGTATTTGCAGATCTGTACCACAGTTCAAACAGCCAGCTGGAAGAATGGGTGTGAAATTTTGTCTATGTCCTTCCAACATGCAGGGCGGGAATGTACAGGGCAGTGGAGTGGACTAACAGTACGCGGCCAGGCCCTCAGATTCACTTTTAGGGATGTTGATGCATCAGGGACCCTGTGAAAAAAAGGCTGATTTTCAGTGTTCCTAAAAAAAACCCTGATTTTTCAGGGCCCTTCCAGAAAAAACCCTGATTATTCAGGGTTCTTCAAGAAAAAACCCTGACTCAACCAACAATATATTTTCGACTTGACGACAGCCCAGGGTCTCAAACCGCAGACCTTACCCTCAGAAGATCACTTGACTAACAACTGAGACACTACATGCTGATGACGATTAGTTTGCATTTAACTACAACAAATTGTTTTGGAGTACTGCTCATCTCGGGCATTTTTCAGGAAGGATTAGGAATGTGCATTCAGTGTACACTAAAAGGCTGAAAATTCAGTGTTAACTATGAAATGAAGTCTGAAAAAACAGTAACACAAAAATCTACACACTGAAAAATCAGTGTAGGTACACAAAAGTAGGCTGAAAATCAGGATTTTCAGGGAAAAAATCCTGATATCGTAGGGCCTGCGACCCACAGGTTAGAGGAGCCTAACGAATGTACAGAACAGTGGAAGTACTTAGCACTTGAAGGTAGACCCGCTTTGATACAATCCACAGTAACAAAGCTGCTTCACATGGATAAATTACAGCACACCACACCAGATGGAGAATGCAGGGGTGGACTGCATGTCAACAATCCACTCCATGCCACCATGGGTCAGACTGATGCCACGGGCTGAAGAGAGGTGCCGAGTTGGGGGTGGAGCTGGGTGGGGGTGCAGCGGAATCATAGCTGCTGCCTCATAGCATGGGTGGGGCAGCATGGCGCAAGCAGAGTTGAGTTGTGAGATGCCAGGAATGAGAGAGACGATGCGAGTGAGGGGTGAGGTGACGAGGTTGAGGAGGGTGCGTGCGGGGATGAAGAGGGTGAGGAGGAGGGTGAGGAGGAGGGTGAGGAGGGGATGGTGGAAGAAGCACAGGTTGAGGCGTTGCTCTTAAGGACACAGGACTGGGAGCTGCTGCTTGTGGGGAGGAGGGGCGGAGGAGAGTCATTGCTGGACGAGGGGCACAGACACCACACCACAGGTATTCCCTCGCATTGCCACCACCAGCCCTCGCACCCACGCAGCAGGTTAGCAGGCCGGGTTCAAATGGGGAGCGGGAGGGACGGGGGCGGAGAGGCGTTGCTTGACGAGGGCAGAGACGGCATCAGCATCCACTGTGACCGCCACCCGCACTGGTGGTATGCCACACCACGTTGTAGGGGTGTTCCATCTGGGTGCGCGGAGAGGGAGGATGATGAAGTGAGATCAAGCAGTCTGGCATTGTGCAGGTAAATGGCAATGGGGCACACCATGTTGTGGGACGATTCAACTGCACCACGAAAACAAAAACACCGAAGGGGGAGAAAGAGGTAAGAGCAGTGAGATTGTCATGTAATTGTGGCTTGCTCACCAAACACGTGGGTGCTTGGTCTAGTGGTATGATTCTCGCTTCGGGTGCGAGAGGTCCCGAGTTCGATTCTCGGAGCACCGTTTGTTTTTTACTTCATTCGTTTTTCGGCTTTCCTTTTACCTCGCATGCTTCCCACTGCTTCTAAACCCTTAGCAGTCGCACTCTCTTGCTGCAAACTATTTCTTTTGCAACCACAGATATCAGAGCAGCATAATACATCACATCACATCCACCCTTTTGGAAGGCACTCACACTTTGTTGGTGTTGTTTAGCAAAGTGAGTCCCTTGGTGATGCCGTCGAGCTGCACGCGCACCACGCCCTCGTGGAAGGTGAAGAGCGAATCGTCCATGGCAGCCACCATGGTGGTGGGGTCGTGCAGGTACACCGCTGCAGCACGGGGCACATGGGCAGTAAAAGAGAAGAAAGAAAGGAGTGGGTGAGAAGAAAGAGGGAGGGAGGACAGGGGAATTCCTGATGCAACACCATGGTGGTGGGGTCGTGCAGTACGCTGGTGCACGGTGTCACACGGGGGGGAAAGGGAGGGGGAGGTGGAGGTTGTGATGTGGGCATTCGCAGTGCAGGCGTTGCTGGGTCATCCATCGTGGCTACCAGGGTGGTGGGGTCGTGCAGGTGCACTGCTGCCGCATGGGGCACAGGCGGGGAATCAGGGATGAGGGGATGAGGGGATGAGGGATGAGGGATGAGGGGTTATGCAGGTGCACTGCCGCACAGAGCACATTGGGGGGAGAGGAGTGGTGAGAGGCCAGAGGGCGTGACAGGGGAATCAATTACGCAAGTCAGAGGAGGGTGGCAATGGGTTCTGCAATGGACTGATGTGCATGGAGGGTGGAGCAGCGGTGAGGGGAAATTAGGCAATTCGTGCGAGTTTTGAGTTGAGAAGCATTGAGAAGGGGGGGAACACGATGGGCTGGAATTGGCAGTGTGGACAGCTGAGTATTCTACGGCTGCCACAACAACGAGGTGGAAAGGGGTGGGGGGGGGTTGAGTGGGGAGGGTGTTTATGCAGGTGCACGGCTGTGGGGGGTTATGAAGTGGGAGGAGGGTTGGGGAAAGGGAGGCTTAACAGTGTAAGCTAGCGTTAAGGAACCATCCCCAGCGCACACCATCCCCAGCACACACCATCCCCAGCGCACCCCATCCCGCCACACACCATCCCGCCACACACCATCCCACCACGTACCATCCATGCCGTACGATTCCTTGTGGTAGCGGTAGTAGAACTGCGACGTGTCGTACAGGAAGCGCCCAAACGGCCCCTTGCTGTCTCTTATGTCCTCCATGTCCCTCACTGCATGCACAGCACACGCCCACCACACACAAAACACATGCGATGGTACAGGACGTGGTAACCCAATGGCTGTAACGCATTGTAACGGTTGAAATTCATGGTAAGCCATACTTTGTGTGCGAGGCAACAGCATAAATTCACAGACTGTGTTGCAACCACCTGAGGAAGAACCTGGTATATGTTGGAACCACCTGAGGAGTGACCTGGTGTGCTGCAGTCACCTGAGAGGGTGACTTGGTGCGTGATGTTGATGCCTATGACTGTGCACTTGGCGCCACACGTGAACACCGCATCTGCTGCATCTGGGTCTCCAAATATCTGCGACGGGGGATACAGTCGATGGGGCATGGCATGGGGATGGATCATTTGGACGGATCATGGGAGTGCACGAAGAGCATTCGCATGGCAGTGAGAAGTCTGCAAATGAGGAAGGGTGCGAGGATGGCAGCAGTGAGCGAGAACCTTCACACCCACCCCAAGCCAACCCACGTACACCCTCCCTGCTGACATGCCACCTTTCCACTGCCTGTCAGGCATACCCACCTCCCACCGCCTCACTTTGCACCCATCAATCCTATTGCAGTCAGTGACAAGAATTGGGAACGACGTGAGTGGAAGAGAGCAGCAGAGGCACAGTGGAAGAGAGCAGCAGAGGCACAATGGAATAGCGTACAAGGGGTTGGGTGGGAGCTTTCTTTTTTCTTGCCACTCACATTGGCCCCACCATTCACATTGGCTTTGGCCGCTCACATTGAGTTTCAAGTCGACTCAAGCCTCAAATCTCGCCACTCACATTCGCTTCAACACTCACATTGGCCCCACCATTCACATTGGCTTTGGCCGCTTACATTGAGTTTTAAGTCGACTCAAGCCTCAAATCTCGCCACTCACATTCGCTTCAACACTCACATTGGCCTCGGCCGCGGGGTTGACGTTCCCGTTGGTGAAGAAGGCGCCGCCCAGAACGACGATCTCCGCCACGTGCTGGGGGAAGGTGGGGTCCAGCTGCAGGGCCTGAGGAGGGGAAGGGGGGAGAAAGGGGGGGGGGGAAGGGGAGTGGGTAGGGGGGCTGGGCTGAGTGCACAGCACAGAATGACGGTCTCTGCCACGTGCTGGGGGAAGGTGGGGTCCAGCTGCAGGGCCTGGGGGGAGGGGAGAGGGGAGAGGAAGGGAAAGCAGGCACAGGAGATGGTGGTGAAGTGAATGGGGCCGGGCTCAATGCACCGGCCAGAATGATGATCTCCAGGAAAGACAGGCACAGCTGCAGCGCCTGGGGGAGTGAGGGGAGAGGAAGGGCAAGCAGGCACAGGATGGTGGTGGGGCGATGGGGGCTGGGCCGAATGCGCTGCACTGAAGGGGAATCTCTGGCACGTGCTGGGGGAAAGAGAGATCCAGCTGCAGAGGGATATGATGAGTGATGGGGGCTGGGCTGAATGCGCCGCCCAGAATAATGGTATCCACCACGGTTGGGGGAAGGAGGGTTCCAGCTGCACAGCACGGAGGGAGATGATGAGGGACAGGGGCTGGGCTGAAGGCGCCACCCAGAACGACATTGCTGGTAGGCTGCAAGAGGATGAGGGGTCACTCGCCTGTGCTGTTCATGCCATTCGCCTGTGGTGTCCATGTTTGAGGTGCACTTTCAGGTGTAGATTGAGGCGGCCCTAACATCACTCACCCTTGCTAAATTGGTCAGCGGGCCCAGGGTGAGTGAAACTGCAGTTTTGCGGGTTCTGGGCGACCATTTGAGACGCACTTTTGAAACTGCAGTTCTGCGGTGCCTAAAAACTTAGTCGCCTTGGCTAAATTGGTGAGGGGTCCCAGAGTCACCACTGTGTCCTGCGCGCGCGACTTTTGAGGGACTCAACGGGCGACTCAAGTGACTTTTCAGGCTCCTCAAACCCCACCCTCTCACCCTCTCACCTTTGAGCAGGCCCAGTGCCACCACTGTGACCTGCCCGGGCGACCATTTGAGATGCACTTTTGAGGAGCAACTTTCAGGCGGCTCAAACCCCACGCACCTTTGCTACATTGGTGAGTGGCCCAGAACCACCACTGTGATCTGCTCAAACGACTTCTGAGGGGCAACTTCTCAGGTGGCCCAAACCTCACCCACTCACCTTGGCGAGGTTGGTGAGTGGCCCCAGAGCCACCACTGTGATCTGCCCGGGTGCCGCGCGGACCGTGTCCACTAGGAACTGCGCTGCTCCCTTGTCTATGGGCTTGCCACGTGGCGGCTGCTGATTGGTGTTGCCCATGCCGTCACTGCCATGCACAAAATCCGCCACTCGGATCTTCTCCACGCCCTGCCAGCCAGTCAGTGCATGCCGGACAGAAGACGCCACCCACCCATGGCATGCACCCATGCCACGGACCCATGCCACACACCCATGCCGCACACCCATGCCGCACACCCATGCCGCACACCCATGCCGCACACCCATGCCGCACACCCATGCCGCACAAACAGAAATTGCATGGATGGTTCTTGTATGGAAGGTGGGAGAGAAGGATGGGGTGGATTAATGGTAGACTGTTGAAGTGTTGGGGGGGTTATTAGGGGTTGGAAGGGGGGGTTGAGAAGGGAAACAAGCTTTGTGAGTGTAAAAGAAGGCAAGAAGAGGAGGTGATGGGACATAAGAAACGGATAGACGGGAATGGGGAGAGGTGGGTAACGAGGTTGCAAGGCCCGGGACACATGGACTGTGCAATCTGTGCACAAACTCGCAGTCACCTGTCACGTGCCACCCCTCACGTGCCACCAGTCACATGCCACCTGTCACGTGCCACCTGTCACGTGCCACCTGTCACGTGCCACCTGTCACGTGCCACCTGTCACGTGCCCCTGTAATCACCCACCCGAAGAGTGACCTCTTCTCCATGCGCCACTGGCACGTCCTCCCTCCCTGCCAGCTCGCACTGCTCTCACACACGCACTCACGCACCCACCCGCGAACCCACCCTCGCACCCACGCACCCACCCACCCACCCACCTCCCCACACACACAAACCCAAACGCACACATGCACACACGCACACGCACAAACAGACAGACGCACACACACACACACACACATGCATACGCACAAACACACACACACACACACACACACACACACACACACACACGCACACATACATACACACACACACAAAGACACACACGAGCGCGCGCACACACACACACGCACACACACACACACACACGCACCCATACGCACAAGCGCGCACGTGCAGGCAGGAATTAAAGAGAGTGGGAGTTTGTGAAGTAAGCTGGCAGAGAGGATGGCGGATGGGGAGCGCTTGGCATAGAAGCACATATTGAGAGGGCGTGGGGATAGCATGGTAGCACCTGTGGATAGAATGAGAGCGTGCATAGAATGAGAGCGTGCATAGAATGAGAGCACGTGTGCATAGAATGAGAGCACGTGTGCATAGAATGAGAGCGCGTGTGGATAGAAGAGCGCGTGGGGATAGAATGAGAGCACGTGGGGATAGAATGAGAGCACGTGGGGATAGAATGAGAGCACGTGGGGATAGAATGAGAGCACGTGGGGATAGAATGAGAGCACGTGTGGATAAAACAAGAGCACGTGTGATTAGCACAAAATCACGATAACTCATTGAATGGGACGTAGGCGGATGCAGTCAGCAAATGGGACAGACGTGGCACGTGGGAAAGGCGAAGAGGAGGGGGCGGGGGAGGGGGAGTGAGAGTGGGAGGGGGAGCGGGAGGGGGAGTGGGAGGGAGAAACATGGGCATGCAGTGTGGGAGAGGTCGAGAAACTCACGAGGCGGAGCGCGTTGGCGGTGGCGGTGGGCGTGCGCACGTTGCCGAAGACGGTGGTGATGCCCACCACGTGCAGCTGCTCGGGCGACAGGAACGCCAGTAGAATCGCCATCGTGTCGTCTGCCCAGAGATTAAAACAAAAACAAAAATACAAACAAGTTGTAAGAATAACGAAGAAAGGCAAAGAACAACAGAATAACCGCGTGTAGTGAGCCGATTGTTCTGTTGGCTCAAAAACAGAATGGGCATGGAGTCGTTTGCTGCACAGAAGAGAGGGCTGGCCGGGGAGGAGAGGAAGAAAGAGGAGGGGGGGAAGAGATAGTGATAGTCGGCGGACAGTGGGTGGCCAAGACTGGCGACGCCTCGCATCACGGCCAGCTCCGGTGGAGATACGACGGCTAGCAGTGTCGCCAGGGTGTCGCCAGGGTGTCGCCTGGGTGTCGCCTGAGTGTCGCCAGGGTGTCGACTGGGCAGGGCGAATTGGCAAGCGGTAGGGAGGGGAGGTGGGTGAAAGGGTGTCGTCGGTAGGACGGCACGGGGAATGCCCCCCACCTCGTCGCGCTCCGATGAGGGGAAGCATGTTGAGGAGATTTGTTGCTTCAAGGTACGGACACACAGCGGAGAGAAGATAAGCAAGATACGTGCGTGTCCACGTAGCCTCTATAAGACTAATTGCGTGGCAATTCTGATCGCGGCGCCACTCTTCATCCTTCCCACTATTTCCACGTAACCTTTCTCGCCAGCTACTCCCCGTTCTCTTGCCGTACCTATTCCCGGATCCGTGTCGATAATTATTCTTTTGGGCAGTCGCGACGTGTCTTTCTCCACCCCAACAGCCATGGCGTTCTCCTCTTTTAAGAGACACTACCACCTGCGCCTAATCAACTTTTCGTTTCAAGAAGGAACGCGAGATGCGTGAAGCCAACGTTAGCCTAAAGAATCGACTAGCTTTAGGGCCAATTTCCGTCTGTACTGCGCACTCCTACGTCAAGGTTCGGGACGAAGTGCGAATTTGAGCTTTGTGTGCGTCTAAGCTTTGAGAAGGTAGGGAATATGTATGTTGGCGGGAGTGATTTAGAAGCAGTTGTGAGCTTCAGTGATGTTTGCCAATCTTCCCGTTCTGTATGACATGACTTGGATGGAAAGCAGCAATGGTGAGTGGTGGACCATGACCTGACCTAACGTACAACCACTTCCACCGCACTGAAAAACGTTTCAACCACTTCCTAGTAGGATGGAACCAATGTCATGTCATCAACATCAAACCCGCAGAGAGTGGATCAAACCAAACAGGGAAGTCGGTGATTGATTGGCTGGAAGGACGTTGGGATGGGGTGACACTGCCCAATGTGCGAACGAACTGTCCTTGCCGTTTGATTGGATTGGATATTCGTTGAGCGAGTGAGGGCTCCGCTGTAAAGTGTGACAGGCAACTGACGAATGCGCAATCAGCATACATCTGGTCCCACGTCATTGTGGATGGAGGAGAGGCTGTATTGCAGGGAGCTTGAGCTTGTCCTGGCAGAAGTTCCCCTCTCACCACAAACTCGAGAACCAGTCACACAGTTGGAAATAGTGGTGGCGATGGATGTCATGCGGAGTTTGCCATCAACTAGGCAATGAGGACTTGGTCGTCAAACCCCGTTATGGTGCTAGTGTACGTGTTCCGTTGGTGGCTGTTACGAGTGCAATTGAGCGAGCGAGCTAGAATTGCACTACCTAAGCAAAACAATACATTGAGCGAAGGCATGAGCGAAGAAGAATATATACCGTAAGCCCCCGGATAGAAGCGCCCCTGGAGGTATAAAAAAACACTGTTTTTTAGGGGGTGCGCTTATAATCGAGGAATTTTATAAGCGCCGGCGTTTAGAAAATGGCAAAAAGAAATTCTATATGTTTTACACCAAACTGTAGATCTCGTTCTGCCGATTGTAATCGAGTCGAAAACATATAGGGTCGCGAATCTAATTCTCGCGCAACTTGGCAGGGAGTGATTCCCTGCCAACTCAAACTGACAGAATGACAGCACATGCTGACTAGACGCGCAAAAGGTGAGATCAGAGTGTGGGAAATCGAGCTTGTAGTTCGTTTCCCTCATAATGTGAAATTCGTTTCTGTATTTTGTCAGGTTTTCAAAAGAAAAAACAACATGCGCTTATAATAAATCATCTTTCTTTAGGGGGTGGGCTTATAATTGAGGACCGGATATAAGCGCCGTCATCCTTTTATAAGCGCCGGCGCTTATCCGAGGCCTGCGCTTCTATCTGTTATAATTTGAAGTGATTTAGTAGGATCGTATACTTAGGATGATAGCTTCCTGTTGTAGCGGAAGTATTTGTATGAGTTAATGCCAGTGTAGGAGGCTTTTGTCTGGACTAATGTAAGCCCATGTAGTGATATGTTTCAGGATCAATGTCTCTGAAATCAGATATATTATAAAATGACAAACATACATAATATATAGCTAGAGTAAAGTACCTACTCGCATACTGTACAATGCTATTCACGCTATTCCTGTTCTGAAACGGTACGTCACTATTCGCGAGGCCTATAGTTACGTGCTGACGTCATCCTAGGGCGCGTAGTGCTTTGCTGACGTCAGCCTATCGGTACTTTACTATTACGTGCGAAGTCTCGCACTGTACTTAACTGTACTACACGAATTCCGTGAAGTGCTTAAGTCTCGATATTATCTCAACACTCCCCTTCACTTCTAGGAGTTCGGTGTAGTTACCCTGTTGCCTCAGAAACACCGCTGAGCTGGTTGCAGTGGTGAAATTTCTGTCGTGTCAGTTTCTTGGTAAGTGAGTCAGCTGCCATGTCACCAGTGGGATAGTAGACAAGGCGCATTCTCTCCTTGTCGATCGCATCATTGACGAAAAAGTAACGCAGTGAGATGTGTTTTGTGCGATTGGCGAAGCCGGGCTTGTTGGCGATGGTAATTGCACTCTGTTGTCGCACTGCAACGTAAACTGATTTGGCGTGACGAACTTTGCTTCATCGAGCAGTTCCTGTAAGTATAATCCTTCTCGGGTTGCAGCACACGCGGCAATGAATTCTGCTTCAGCCGAGGAAAGTGACACGAGTTCCTGTTTTGATGAATTCCACGAGATTGGGCCAATTGGCTCGAGACGGAAGATGTAGCCTGTTCATGACCGACGCGTGGCCTGCGCAGCCAGATCTCCTCGTGCAGGCTGCCCTGTAGGAAAGCAGTGCTGAAGTCAAGGGAGTGAAGCTCGTAGTCACGCTGAGCAGCAACATGCAGCAGAACCCGAAGAGTGGTCATCTTTGGGGTCGGGGAGAAGGTCTGAAAGTAGTCAACTCCCTGCCACTGACTGAAGCCTCGAGCCACGTAACGCGCCTTGAAGACAGGCGGAGAACCCGGCGGCCGCTTCACCCTGAAAATCCACATGCCACTGACGATGTTCGCCCCAGGTGGGGGAACCTCGTCGACGTAGGTGCCTGTGGACTTCCAGGAAGCCATCTCTGCGTCCATGGTTGCCTGCCACTGAGAGGAGTAAGGACCCTCTATCGCCTCTGCGTAAGAGCGCGGGGTCGGGATGTCTGGTGCATCCGGGTCTCCCTCAGGGGCAAGCAGCGTGGACACGAGATGAGGTAAAGCAGCAGCAAAACACTGGAACTCCTCCTGTCGGTCCTCAAGGACGTCCGTGCTAAGAGCACACTCACCCCCGACGGACGGAGGACAGACAGACTCAGACTCAGCAACAAGACTAGCGGCGTAGTCTAGACGACAGTGAGCAGCGAAGTCGACAAGCTCGGCAACTAAGGCAGACGCAGTAGTGGACTCAAAGGAAGGGTCAGTGACAACAGTGGCTAGGACACGCGTGACAGTAGGACTGGCAGCACGAAGGGAGTCAGACTCCGGGTCAGCAAGAGCAGGAAGAGAGGACGCTGGAGGAGACGGCAAAGGGACACGCTGTGACGCAGTGGAAGGACGCAGTGCCATCTGATGCGTGCCCGGGACCGCAGGAGGACGCTGACGGGGAACACGACGACTAGTGCGAGCAGGACGAACAGGCGACGCTGGACGCGACTCAGGCTCACGACGCTCAGCAAGACCTCCAGTAGGACCAGCGTAGGGAGAAGGAGCAGGCAAAGGGGAGACCAGCTGTAACTGTGACTCGGACTGGACAGGCGGAGGACACTCTAAGGAAGGAGCAGGACTAGGAGAAGGCGGAAGACCAAGAACCTGCTCAAGGAGCGGAACGAAGTACGGCCGCGGCCGCGCAGCACCTCCAGAACCAGCAGGGACAACACCAGCACCCCCAGCGTCAGCTCCAACTCCAGCAGCACCACCAGCTCCAGTACCTCTAGCAGCTCCAGCTCCAGCAGGACCACCAGCAGACACAGCCGCTCCGGCTCCAGTACCTCCAGTAGCACCCACTCCAGCAGCACCACCAGCTCCAGCTCCACCAGTAGCTCCAGCACCAGGAGCACCACCAGGCCCAGCAGCTCCAGTACCTCCAGTACGAGCACCTCCGGGACCCGTGGCTCCAGCACCCCCAGCAGAAGCAGAACCTCCAGTACCGGCTCCAGCAGCACCTCCAGCTCCAGAACCTCCAGCAGCAGCAGAACCTCCAGCTCCAGCAGCACGGCTCTAGCGGCGAGCAAACCACTCGCGCAGCTCCTGTGGAGAGGGAAGCTCCCGCCGGGACAAAGCACCCGAAGGACCGCCAGGTCCAGCACCGACAGGCTCCACACCCCCACTCCCAGCAGCCCCAGGCTCAGCACCCCCAGAAGCAGCACCCCCAGGCCCCGCACGCTCAGGCTCAGCACCCCCAGACCCAGCACCCCCAGGCTCCGCACGCTCAGGCTCAGCACCCCCAGACGCACCAGAGTCAGCAGCTACCTCGACAGGCTCGACTGCATCTACCTGGGACACACCTGAGGGGGCAGGACCCTGAGGGGGGAGGGGGTCTACCGGGGGGGGACCGGGAGCGAGGAAGAGCGGCGGGGGGGGGAGGGGGGCAGTGCGGTAGGGGAAGAGACGGTAGTACGGAACCGACTCGTCAAACGTGACGTCCTGGGAGGACAGAACACGACGCGAGGTGGGGTGGTAAAACTGCCAACCAGGCGCGTCAGGGGGAAAGCCGAGAAAGACGCAAGGAACAGCACGGGAGGACAGCTTGTCCGAAGACAAGTCTCGGACAAAAGCTCGAGATCCCCAGACACGGAACGCAGACGCATCGCCAACCTTCCCCGTCCACCGCAGAGTAGGGGAGGTCTCCGGCAGGGAGACCCGGGGCTGAAGGTTGATCTGATGCGCCGCGTACTGAACCGCGAACGGCCACAGAAAATGGGGAGCAGCCGCATGGATCATGGACGTACGAGCGACATCCATGACCATGCCAATGCGGCGCTCAGCAATCCCATTTTGCTGTGGAGAGGCCGGAAGCGTGAACGTCTGGCGGATGCCCTCCGCACGACAGAAGGCTCGCAGAAGGTCGGAGGAAAACTCTCCGCCTCTGTCGGAGTGCAGACGCAGAACAGGAAAGTCCGAGCCGAAACGCTCTCTGAGCTGGAGACGAGCAACGCGGATCCAGTCGATCAACACCTCAGTGACCTCACCCTTGCTGCGCAAGGGGAAGACAGTGGTGTAACGCGAGTAGTCGTCAACCACCAGCAGGAAGTAACGCTCGTGACCCTGTCCACGGACGCGGGCTGGGCCCCACACGTCCATGTAAAGAGTCTGCAGCGGAGCCTCTGTCGGGGGAAACTCGGAGGAGTGAGGAGCGGCGCGCTGCCGCCCCTCGACGCAGGGAACGCAGGTAGGGGCAGGCCCCGGGGGAAGGGGAGGGAGGGACCGGGGGAGACCAGAG